GTTGGGGATTTGAAGCTTAGCGGGTGAATCGTTGGCTTTCGGTAAAAACCTTCTCTACTGTGTGGGTTCAAATCCCGTCAAACGCGTCGAGATTTTTTACGATTTTGTCGACTCATATTTATTGAGTGACTGGCAGTATGCGTTCAACGCCCGTAGGCCCATGGAAAGCTTGGCGGAAGAGCGGTTCGTTACATGCAAGCCGGCTGCCTGCTAACTGTTCGTTAGGTACAAGGTAACACTTCCCCCTTTTGAGACAAATCGTAAGATTTGAGCTGCGGGTTCACTTGTAACCGAATCGTTTGCATTCTTATCCAGCGTCATCGTCTAGAGCGTTGGGCAGATGGGCTTGCAAGTGGAACTAGGGTTCCTTGCCCTGGTTTCGGCAGATCGAAATTGCCATGTTATACTTGTTTCAGCAGTCCTTTGCCACCAATATCTGACTCGGATGGAAAAAATGCTGTTTCATGCTGTGGCGTTGGTTGAATTGCCTTTCCATTGACGTCGGATGGAGTGATTCATCAACAACACCGACAGATGGCAGTGGACAAATAACGCCAAATGGCGTGCGAAGCTTTTACTGCATCAAAGCTTCTGCGGGAGACATCCCTTAGAGTGTTACGGTTTGGAGTAGTTCGATTATTCATCAGGAATAGTTCGAGAACTTTCGTCGACACCTGGCGTCTGGAGACCCCACTCGACGAATCGCTCAACCTAACCTTTGCATTGCGGGTGATATGGTGGCGAATGGACGTGGTTAATGCTTGACTGTGTGCAGAATTGGGCGACGCCGGCTGATGTGAACACCCCTCCACTATCGCTCACCAAGGTTTTGGGGAATCCGAACCTGCCGAGTTGTCGTCATCCAGTGCTTATCATCGCTCCGGCTGTCTTGCATTCCACAAGGATGACTTCCGGCCATTTGTGGTATACGTCAGCGACGATAAGGGAGTTAAAGGCCATTGGGCGGTCCAGCATAATTGACGTGGATCCGGGACCAACGGATAGGGAACAGGCAATGCCTTGAGCGTGGTCGTCGTTGCCGCCTTTGATGCAAGAGCGCATTTGGTGGATGCGTGAGCCAGTTGTTCTAATTGTTTGTCCAAGCGAGGCCAGTACACGTTACCGCGAGCGAAACCCTCCATGCGGTTAATGCCGGGAAGTACGTTTTGAAAATGTCTCAAGACTCTGGCCTGTAGCTTTTGTGCAACAACGACACGGTAGTAGAAAAGGATATAATCGGCAATGGTTAACCGACAAATTCGTTGTATGTGCGAATGCCGTAATTCTTCATAAAGTTTAGCTTGCCACTGACTGAACTTGTACTTTTTAAATTGTCTCAACAAAGGATCTTGCTGGGTTGCGTTTCGGATTTCCTCAAACATTATGGGGACTGCACTTGTGGAATCCATAAATAGACTGTGAATCTCCGACTCAAATAAGGGGGACATAATGACTATGTCTTCAGGCTCCCTAGTCCGTGAGTTGATTAATAGCGAGAGTGCGTCTGCCTGACCGATAGTTGTTGTAGACTGGTATCGGATTTCGAAGTCGTAGCCCAGCAGCATGATTGACCAGCGCTGAAGGTGATTTGCCGAGTACAGAAGAATGCCTTTTTTCTAGTCAAAAATACAAATAAGAGGCTTGTGATCTGTGAGAAGTGTGGCATGATGCCCGTAAAGCATCTTAAGAAACTTCTTCCCGGCGAAAGTGATGTCCAAGGCTTCCTTTTCGATCTGTCCATAGTTGCATTCAGCAGACAGTAGTAACCTTGTTGCACGCCAGATAGTCCTCTCTGTGTTGTCTGAAAAAACGTGTGAAATCACGGTGCCAATTCCACAGTTGGAAGCCGTGGCAGCCACGAAGACGAAGAGTGACCTTCATTTTGCTGCAGCAACCAATACGTTCTTGATAAACTGTAACAAACTTCCACTGTGTATTCGATGCACATTTACCGCCAGCAGGACTCGGCCAAAATGACTGCATACCCTTGCTAATGCGGTTAAGTGACAAATCCAGGAGACAGATTTTCTCGTTCCAGACAAGGCTTATTAAGTAAAGACTTGTACGATTTGTAAGGTAGAAAATTAAGTTGAATTGAATGCCCTCAAAGAAAACGTCACATTCCAGCTCACCCGTGAGCCGGAGAAATCCTCCGCAATCACTTATGACCTTTTCGTCCGATGTGGACATCGGAGGCCGTCCAATCATCTGCGAAATGCCTTTGGAGATTAAGCTGATACGTGAGGCTGTGTCAAGCTGGGGGCGTTTGTGTTTGCCATTGATAGTAACCGTAGGATACTTCCTTCTTGCCTCTCTTTTTGTCTGGAATGTGGCTACGATTGTATGACACTTGACAGTAGAATAATTTGAAGGGCGTTTGGAACGCCTCTTCGTCCTGTCACCTGACCTTGAATTGGGTGATTTGGCCGCCGAGTGATGATCTTCCTCATGCTCTAGCTGGGGCATGCCCCACATGCGTGCTTACCGAATGGAAAAAAGCAAATGAAATGCCAATCACCGTGCTGACATCAGGCTGATGGAAGTTTTCTAATTGTGGACATTTGAAATTTCTGTGACTTCGTGCGTGTGACAGCATGAACGTTGTTGGCGGCAAACGAGGAACAGGGTTGTTCCGCGATCACGTAATAACGCTAAATATGCTTAAGCCGCTGACACTTGGCTGTCAATGTCTGTAGAGTGGACTTCGGGTCCTGTTCAATTTTTGAGAGCAGACGGGTCCTGATTTCCGCATCACGAGGTGACTGCAGAGCGCTCACACAGAAGAGGCACTTGAATTGGTCATTGGTCAATTCTCGGATATGGAACCTTTGACACTCGCGGTTCACAGCACTGACGAGCGTCAGAAAATCGCCGGTCTCGTTTTTTACCAGATTGAGACACTGGTATGGAATGATAAACAGGCAAGACTTATCGCTGAACATCTCTGACAGGCGATGGACAGTTTCGTTGAATGTGAAGTCACGGGGGTTTCTCTTCAGAATCATGTTCATGTACCGGTCGTGCTGTTTGGTGCACAATTTGCGTGGTAGCAGGCGCAACTTCCAAGCGTCGTCAGCTTTGGCAAAATCTGCATGAAATACAGTAGATACACTATCTCATGAAATCCAACGATTTTTACATGTAACTCCCTCTTACTCAAATACAGGCCAAGCTGTGGCCCCCAAAGTCCTACAGCAATAAAGTAATGATCGTTCTTCA